ACATCCATGATTGCTCTTGCAAGAGAGGTGCCTATTGCACAAGGAACTTCCCACACTTTCATTACTAGAAGAAAGCCAGGAAAATACTTAGAAAGTACTTCCTTCTCCCAACATCTTCTGTGAAAACTCTTTTTGACTTGGTGCCTAGAAAACGTTAGTTAACAATTGTATTTGCACGATCAAGATGATTACCTGTGTACATGTAATACTGTTCAGCCATAATATCCCACCGTATCTGTGTTCTTGCCGCTAATGTTTGGTGAGCTGGATCCTACTTTTTTTCTTTTTTTTGTCCTTTTTGTTTTTATTTGCCATTTCTGTTGGGTCTTGGACCATAAATTAAGGTTCTAGAAATTATAAGTTAGAAGAAATATTTATACAAAACTTCCCATGCGTGTTTAATTCATATTGTTGTTAAATTCTACCATAGCCCACAAAGTTTAACTTGGTTGTAGCTATAAATTATCTAAACCTATACTATGCAAATAGATTGTTTTCTCAAGCCTATTTGAAAAAAAAATAAAAACAAATGCTGGTTTTGCTTGTTAGTATGCTTAAGTGTGTCAGGTGGTTTTTAAGTTCTGAATTAAATCAAGTCCCTGAGGTAAAATAGCGGTTCATTTTAATCCTGATCAGTACTATGTAAAAGAGAAAAATTGAGAGAAAATAGAAGGCTAGGGAAGAGAACTGAAATTTGTCATTTATCCGGTTGCCATGACATATGTTACTATTCACTGTGATCATGAGGGAAAAGGGGAATATTTGTATGGAAATACACTGGACGGATTGTAAGTGATGGAAGCAGAAAGACAAAAGCAGGAGAACTTTACCAAGGCTATAGGGGGACTGACATGTTCAGCAGCACTAGTAGAGTCTGAAGATCTTTAGTGGTATTGGAATTACTAAGTACTGTGAAGGTAGAAAAATCAGTGTTAAAGCTGAAGGTTAAATCTAAAGCAAACCTAGTGATAACTTCATATTGGAGATTAATCTTTGCTCGTTTATCCCTAGAGAAAAATGGAGAATACTGCATTTCTGTTATATGCTTCTAACTAACCTGTGATAAAAGCATTGCAAGATCTTATAGCAAATAAGAAAATAGACCTAGTATACCATGCTTAAAATAAATATGAACAAATGAGGCAACAATAATATCATCTGAAGAACAGATCATTACAGCTCTGTAAGAAGGGAGGGTTCATAAGAGAAGCATGGTATATCTGTGGGACTCTATCATGTTTAATAATCAGTGGACTTATAGAAAAAGAAAGTATACATTTTTTCACTGTTGCTAAAAATCAATGTACATGAAAAAAGTAAAAACCCCAGGAAGCTCCGTAACTCTTTGCTTTATTGGTTTTTAGCTATGAATGGGATTAAAAGGATCTTTCCTTTGTTGTTGCTGAATAGGTGAAGACCTCCAAAAATCTAAACTGCCAGATAACATGTAGAAATAACATATTTAGAGCCATGTATGTATTAATTGCACACAAGCTTATAGGGAAAAAAGGTGAAATTGGTGTCATTGTCTATGTGTGTTGTCATAAGAAAGATTGTTATTTCCCATTGACTTGTGGTTCTTGCTAGTTTTATAACTGTATGTTCAGCACTACCTGTCTTTTGAGAAGTGTTTGATTGCTTTGATGTAATTACTTCATTGTGCTTTAGCATAGTAACAAGCTTGAAATAATAAATTTATTTACGATAGCTTTCCTTTACATAGGAAAACCTTTCTATCTTGGCATACTTCTGCATAACATACATGATTTTACAGTATTTAACTCAGTCCTGCAGCAGCACTTTCATCTATTCTGCACCAGGGTTTTACATGATTTTCCAATTAAACACAGCAATACAATATATTTCCGATGCAACTGCTGTATCTAATGTGACATTTTAAAAACTTACTGAAACAGAAAAGTGAAGAATTGCTTGCATAGGCACATGCGTTTGCTCTTAAATGGCCCTCATTATCATAGTGTCTGAATATCTGTGCGTATCTAAGGTTGAAAAGGCAAATGGAGTTTGCCTCAGCTCCCTACAGTTGTTCCTCCAAGTGCTTAGAATTTAAATCAGTCCATGACTGAGTCGTCGGGATCTCATAACCTAAGAAAATCTGTGCTCCTGCAACACCCTTGTCACGAGCAGCACATGGCTCCTCGGAAACTGATACTGGAAAAAGGTTTCAGAGGAAAAGTCTGTGGGCTGGAGAATTCTTTGGGTCAGCATTTTGGGTCAATATGTCAACTGCTTTTGCAGCAAAAACGCGACTAGATGGATGTTGCTGGTAACCCTCTGCCAGGAGGACTTTGGTTTGAGACAGTGTCCTGTGGTCACTGAACATACACTGCATCAGTACCTAGCAAGGCTGAGAGAGCTACTGAAATTGTGGAATTCCTGTGGCCATTTGCATGGTAACTTTGGGAAGTCTCTCTTTCTCTCTCTCTCTCTCTTTTTTTTTTTCTGTAAGATATAAAATTCAAATATATCCTGTGCAATTCTGTGAGACCATTCACGAGCAATACTGCACTGCTGGGGCACCTGGACCGTGGTGACAGCACGGTGCATTTGCAGAAGCGTTGGTCAAGCAAGTGGTGATGGTCAAGAAAGGGAATGGAGGAGCAGTAGTGCTTCATGTGAGCTGAGGAAGGAGAAGTTGGAGTCGGAAGGTACCTCGAGGAGAGCGGGTGGGGAGATGCGTGGAAGTGGCCGGCAAGTCAGAGCTCAGGCTAAAAGGAGGAGAGGTTTAGGGGTCGGCATTTTTTTAAGGGATTTCTTTTTGCCAGCATAAATTCCATGTTCTGTTTGAAATATATTTTTTTTAATTCTGTTTTTTAGAGATTTGAATTAAGCTGGATTCAGTGTTCTAGAAAGACATGGCAGCCGTGACTGTGTTTAAAACATTTCTGTCTCAGTGTGTTCAGTTCCCACAAAGCAGTCAGATGCTGTTTGGATTTAGATCAGCTGAGCATATAGGTATCCTAGGGATTTTTCCAGGACGATGTCTTCGTAGGCATCTCCAGCAGCTGCATTGCATTTTGCAGACTTTCACAAATGCATTGATACCAAAAATCAGTTGCTTGTACAAATTGAAAGTATTTTTTGAGCAATCAAAATATATAGGAGAGGGAAATAAAGGAAATAATCTTCACTAAGAACAAATAAAATAATACTTTTTTTCTGGATACTGTATTTTCCCTGGAAAGTTTGGTATCCAGAGCCCAAACTAAAATATTTTTTCTACTTCTTGCATGATTATACATATAATTAATTTTTTTTCAAATAATCTTTTTAATAATCATTTCGTAATCATTTCCTATCTTTTTTTCTTTTCAATTTTTTGTGGCATTTCTCCAAATATTTTTTATAATTTTAAGTACTTCCCGTGTGCACAACTAACAGCAAAGAGGCCATTATAATGTTATACAATTTGAGTTAAGCTACCTGATGTTTTCACTGGAATGTTTTTTTTTTTCCATTTGAAATGGGTAGTAATGGGTTAGAGGGTCAAGGTTCCCCTAATAAGGGAGATCTTTTATTTAGCAAAGGTGTGTTCTATTGCTGAGGGAGTCTGTCTATAATAACGGAGATGTCGTTTTAAATATCAGTTCTCTTACTGGTAGAAAACCAGTTAGTAAACTCTGAGAAAGAACTCTCTTTAGGTATTGCTCATTGTAATTGAGTCTATCTCACAAACAAATCTCTCTCTCATATTGAAAACAGAATTCACCATTCTTATTTGAAGATGGTCAGCAAGTAAACCATTATTTCCTTGACTCTTTAGTGGTCATGACGAAAACATAGTTCCTGATCTTATGGAGTCAGTGATATTACCTGATACCTCTACTGACACAGAAAAAATAACTGTTAGAAATTCGTGCTAATACCTAGAGTTAGAGCGTGTGTGACAGAGTGGCCACATTTGAACATTTCATTGAAAATAAAAACTGTGCAAAGAAGGAAAATATATAGTTCCTTTTGCATAATCAAAAATAATTAAATTGTCCAGTCCCTTCCAGAAGTCAAAATAGATACTGCAGTCATGCAGATGTCAGCTTTTACCGTTTAGTTCCCATTTAGCTGGAAACAGGAAAAGATCCTATCAATTAGTTGGAAAACTTCTTCAACAGAAATGATGGCTAAAATACAACTACAGTACAAAGTACTAGTAGAGAATCATTGTAGGTGTCTCCTCCTTATGCGTTTTCTAGGCTGGATGATCCACTTTTATGATCTTTGAGATAAGTCAACATGTATTTTGACATAATGAAGCTTTAAATTTATCTGTGACTCACCCTTGTATTAAAGATGAAGGGTTTTTTTTTTTTTTTTTCCTCCTGTCCACCCTGTGCCATAGGCTGCAGCTGGCACCTTCTGTTCAGCAGCTGTTGAAATCACTGGAGTCTTTCAGGGATTTCACCCAAAGCGGGAGGAAGGAGTTATTGTCTCTGAACTTTGTGCTTTACAGAGGAGGTTCTTCTTCTTTGTCTTGGCATTCAATGGCATACCACCTATTAATTTTCCACAATCAAGGCAATGAGAGTATTAGTATAAAAAGCAATAGAAAAAAAATGAGCCTCCTTTAGACGAACTTCCTTTAAACCTAATCTACTATAAAGCAAGACTGCAAGTAGATACTAGAATACTGAACAAGTCCTTGCAAGATTGAAGCCTAATTTTCAAGTGTTATCTGTATTCCAAGACATTATTTGTGATTTATTGTACAGAAATTAAACAAATCTGAGCTATCTTCACATTCCGTTGATGTTATAGTTTGGAATTTATTTATTAAGGATTTGTTCTTAACATTGTTAATATATATGCTAATTATTTCATGTGATATTTAATATCCTTAATCTGCATACAGTACTCTCTATATCTACAGTTGCATTAACAAAGTGAGGAAAGAATGTGTTTGTACCTGCACATGGTTTTTTAAACCTTTGGTCTCTTTCCTTTAACTTTTCTAATAAATGTTATTTATTAATATTTCTTCTCAGAAAAAACAAAGAACAAAGGACCTGTCCCAGCTATTTCATTCGTACAATCCATATGATCACAAGGTAAGAAAATACTCTATGTGCATTTTTGTTAAGTAATTCCAAACATTTGTGTGATATATTTTAAGTTTAATGTAAAAACAAAAGAAAATGATTAAAATATTTGAAGGTCTTAGGGTTTATTCATGCTAATTCAATTAGGCTATCTTATAAAATGTATTTTTGTTTCTTCAAACCATGCTTGAAAAGCTACATTTTCTGATTTGTGAAATCAATGACTTGCATTAACCTCCCATAAATATAATTTATGGATTGGCACTAAATCCTGTGAAGTGGCCTTTACAGGTTATCTAATTCCCCTTTTTTCCCTGCTCTGTTTAGAAAGTGTGTTACCCTTGAGTATGTTGCTTAACCTGTTGTGTTGATTAGGCCCTGAGATACATGATACTAATGAATTATCTATTGATTCTGGAAGCATCGTTGGAAGGGACCTCTTTATTAACCAATTGATGCCAAGTGTTTGGGGTAGAATTAAAAACACAAATCAGTATTACTTGTCTCTGGTTTGTAAAGTCTGGTCAAAATCCTTATAGGTAAAAGAGAAAAAGAAAAGCACTTCCTCAAAGACCTTGCAATGCAAGATAAAAAAACAAAATAAGGTGGTTAAAGAAAGATTTTGGAGTACCAAGAGGCAGAGTCACTAAAAAATGGGGTCAAAAGAAATGATCACAGCATTTCTGTGGTGCAAGTATTTGTCATGGGTTTCATCATAAACATTATGCAAAAGAGGGCATTAGGCAGCAGACTGAAAGAGAATTAAGTTAGATTTGTAAATGTTTTCAGGGAGTTCTCCCAGTTTTGGATGCCTCAGAGGGTGTTTTTTAAAGTAACTGTACCAGATCCTTTAAAAATTTGTCAATAGTACGAGATCATCTCTGCTGCTCTGTTTTGCAAAGCATGTGTGATTTTGCAAGTATACATTTTTTTTAAAAAAAGGTTTGAAACCTTTTTTGTTCAGGTATTTCAACAGAAAAGAAATTAAATGTTCTTGTTGCTTTCATGAGCCATACACTAAAAAAATATACATTGAGGGAAAAAATTAGCTTTTATGTTTGTGGGAAGAAGGAATCAAAGTGTACACCTATGTTATAGGAAAAAGGTGCATATGTAAATATACATATATGTATGAGTGAGAAATACAGTGTTTGTAAATATTTGTGGATTGAAGTTCCATTCTTGTGGTCCTTCCAAAAACACTCTAGCTGCCCGTCTGAGCGCAAAGGTTAAAAAAAAAAAAAAAAGAGGGGACAAAAAAATTTATAAAATAGATGGAGTCAGGTAGGTTGTTGCTATGAGAGTTCCATAGTTACCAGCTGCCTGAACATTTACAGCTCAGAAAATCATTAACAGAAAGTAGATACGTTCTGTAATTTTGATAATTATATATGATTTCAAGGTAAATCCATCACTTTGAAGTATTTTTTTTATACAGAGACTTGCATTTTCTATAAAGTCTGGAAAAGTAGATGTTAGGGGCCTGTGAAAATTGGTAAACGTAAAGAATAAAGGAAATTAATGTGACAAGATTTCCAACTGGAATATTGCTTTTTTTAAATTGAAGCAGTTTAAGGTAAACATCATAGTCAATCAATTAAGATCTAATATGGAGAAGCAACTGGCAAACGAGAAGCTTTGATATTCTTCTCTGTGTCCAAATTCTCCTGTGCTAAACACTTTTTATTCATAGTACAAGGAAATTCCATTATTCTTTTATTAGCACTCTTAATAGAGCTTGGCCATTTGTAGCTCCTGCTGCCTTCCTGTTCATATCCTTTGTGGCATTATATCAAAGTATCCTCAAATGATTTTGGCTTCAGTTGTGAAGACTTATGCGCTCTTTACAAATTAGTCATCAGGCACTGTGGAATTGAATATAAATGCTTAGATATAATCCCTTTTGATCTTTGTTTTAGGACCTTTAATAAATTATTAAAAGTAGCACAATTGTTTGATGACTTTTGAAGCTCCACTCTTTTGGTGCTTCCAAGCACACTCTACCTACATGTCTGAGAGCAAAAGGGAAAAGCAAAAGACCGAATAAGTTTATAAAATAGATGTTCTTTCCTTATATTACATTTGACAGTGAAGGTTTTCTTTCTGATAACCACTTCCTATTTGCAAGGGTTACAGTGAGTTCACTGAAGATTTCTAGCTTTGTGCTGTTGTTTTCCACCTTAACTGCCAATATTTCACAGTTTTTACAGTCCAGGGCAGGGCTTTTAATTAATTTCTATCCTAAATCTAACAGTAATCAACATTAGTTGACAATATGGTTGTTTTGGGTAGATGTCTGTATTAGTTTTATTCTATTTTGTCTCATTTGCATGTAAGAAGGTTGAGCTTGGGCTTCTGTTTGTTCTTGTTCTTCGCTTTTGTAGATTATTTTCTATCAATATAAAAAGAAGGTAAAGAGCTTTTATGATGGTTTTGTGAAAGTGTTGGTGATGCAGGATCCTGGTGCAAATGACTCAAATCACTTTGATTTGAGCATTATTCATTGATCTTTCAGGATTATTCATTGATCAAAAGGTTTTTCTTTGAGAAGTAGAGAAGGGATAACCCTAAAGAATAGGTTGGAGATTGTTCGTAGTAGTGAAACAGTGGTTGAAGTAGATATAGCAAAGAAGCTCATTAGTGACAGTGGCTGTGACAGGACTGAAGCAAGTTTTTCTTATTTCCATCCCACAAAAAAAGAGAAAAAAATAACCTAAAAATGTTAATTCTTCAAAGCTGATGCTTCAATATTCATACATAAATGTTTTGAATGAGCGACCACACTAACTTTGCTAATGTTGCTATTGTTTATACTTGATCAGGAGACCAATGTGTATTAAAGAAAGCAATGATTCCTTGTCAGTTTTACCTCAAATGTATATGTCTATCTACCTATGGCAAATTACTGCACTCTAAAGGACATTTTAAATGTCCATGGCTTCTGATGGTCAAGTAAAAAGTTAGTTTTGTTAATGAGGAGACAAGCAAAAAATGTTTCCTTCCACTTTCAAGTGTGAAGCCTTTATCTTGCATGTCTCTGTCTTGTAACCAGTGCATCTTAATTAAGCACAGGAGTGAGCAGGGCTTTTAAATTGTCCTATACAAGAGCCATGGAAAAGCAGGAGATGTTCTGCCTCTGCTGATAGCAGAGGAAGCCTAGCTAAGCTCCTCTATTAGCTAATGTCTATAAACCGAATCATTTACTCTTTGTGTGTGCCGTGTATCGCTCAGATGAAGCCACCTGATACAAATCCCGAAACACGTGCCCGGGGTTGCGTGCTTCCCCCTGGGATTTGCTCCTGCTCCGTCCCGGCGCTCACGACGCCTGCAGCTGCGGAGCACCCACCAAGCGGGCAGCAAGAGCAGCCTGGGGCGCCTGGGAAATTCACTGAACTCTTTAAGTCCGGCATGCACGTAGAGTTGGTTTTGGTTTTTTCCCCAGGATCTTTTTATTAAAATAAATAAAACCTTCTAAAACACACATTTTCCAGGACCAAATAATTAATTGATACATACGTTGAGTATTAAGAGCTACTCCAGGTGAGTGGTTGCCGTGTGTTCAAACTTATTTCAGTTTGTATGTGCAAAGATACATAGAGTTCTATTTGCAGACAAAGCCATTCCTTGTTCTGAAAATACTTGTTTTTTTCCTGTGTTTATTTAGAGTTGTTATAAGTATAGACCAGCTTTCTTGAGAATGATATTCTGACTTTTGTGTGATGTTTTTCAAATAAGCAGTAGAACAGCTCTTCTAATTTTATGTCCAGTTTATCTTTCCATAACACCATCAGAAAAATATTTTTAAAATATCCTCTTAGAATTATACAGGTGAGCAATGGTTTTATTAAACTAAAATCAAAGAGAATATACTTGAGAGGGAATGCTATTTTTACCCTTAGCAATACTCAGGCAGTTTTTTAATACATCATTAAACCAAAGGTTCTGTCTGCAAACAGATACTTCTTACTGAACCTCTTTTTGTGTGTGTGCCGTGTGGTCCCTCCTTGCACAGAGCAGGAATTTCATTCTGTCTGTAAAAGATGCTTAACTTTCATAGTATCTTTCTCCATAATGAATGATGTTTGCCCTACAAAAATAGTGACATATTTTGTTAAAAAATAATAAAGGAAATCAGTTGTAATAATGGGTTTCTTGGCCAAAAGAACTTAAAATTGAGGACCTTAGTGTGATCTTCGGGATCCAATATGCAAAAAGTGTCCAAATTTAGCACCACAGAATGTAGTTCCTTTCTCCTAGTTGCTTGCTGTTCAATCTAGCCCTAGAACGGTTGTTTCAAGCTAAACTCCTTAATTTCTGCCATCCAAAGACAGGTTTTGTTGTTGTTGTTTTACTTATAATAAGCACAGTATAGAAGAACTGCTGTTCATCTATTCATTTGGCTGCTCTGGCCTCCTTAATGTCCTAGGCCATGTCTGTACGAGCCTCTACCAGCACGTACAGAAGAGCATCCTGCTCTTCCAGTGAGAAATCCCCCAAGAGCTGGCCTGAAAAAGCTACCAATTTCTTTTGCAACCTGCAATTTTTGCTCAAGAACAAGGTATGATCTATAAGGAAATAAGGTCATGTATTATCGCATTAGTGCTTTATTTTAGCATATGCTAGATCCAACCAAATAAGAAATAAAGTCAATATTCATGTGGTTTCAGAGTGCTTCTACTGAGGTTTGTTTTTTCCCATTTCAAACTGCTTTAGATTTAAAAAAGAGCCGTTTCAGGAAATGAGCTCTGATTGATGCAATGCAAATGAAATTATTATACAAATTTCGTATTTTCCTTGCTTAAAAATGTTATTTAACAACGTATCATATAAATGTTAAAAAAAAAAAAAAGGAAAACAAAATCCCCATTTGATAATGCCCTTGTCCTTGGCAAGTTAGATGGAGCATTGCATTAAGCCACAGCTAGAATAAAGTCTCCTGAAAAAAAAAAAAAATCCCTCGATTACTTTTGCTGTGTTAATGCAATTATGTACATAGCTACTTTTGAG